CTGGTGGTCAATGGAAGAGTTGCAATAGATGCGAACGGCTGTCTGTCCAATTGCAGTGTGGCAATTCCATAGAATAAGTCCTGTATCAACAAGAGCAAGCCTCCGCGGCATTGACCCGCAGATTCGCTCTTCCAACTCATAGGCAAAGAGCTTCCATGATGACACCTGAAGTCTCTCAATTCAGACTTCAAGTGAGAGGTGTGAAGCATCTCACCCATGAGAGACCTGCCAATCCTAATGCCTCGAGTTGTGTGCGGCAGCCTTTGGGTTCAAACTTGACCAGCTGTCTTATGCTCTGCATGCCCTGTTTCCTTGAATGCCTGAGACTCTCACATGAAAAGACACGACTTTGGAGGCTGTCCCAGAGCTCTTGAAAGAGCATGGGCTAGACAGATGCAGCACATTGGGTGCTGACCCGAGAACTTCTTTTGCTCCGGTCACACATTGATTTCATGTAGTTTCACCTGGTAAGCGTTGTTTCTGAAACAGCCCTCAGAGGTCACATGGCCGATGCTTTACGGCATGCTGCCTGTGAGTTGCTGCGGGACGACAAGGTGGGAGGCCTGAAGTGTCCATTCACTAAGTCACTAGATTCACTAGATCTGCAGCGCTTCAGCATCCGAATTCCACTCTCTGGCAGCAGTGGAGCTCGAGCGAAGCTCCGCAGGCTTTCTTTCTTCCCTTCTTCCATCCTGTGGCCGGCATGTTTATTTAACTGTGCGGAAGCTGTTGCACTCAACTGGGAGTCGTGAGCCTTGACCCAGTCCACAGGTGCAAATAGCCGATGAAGCAGAACATCATCTCAGCTATGACAGGCTGGTGGGTAGGAAATGAAGCAGCGGTGTAACAAAGCTCATCAAGCATGCATTATCATGCATAGGTTGGAGTGAAATCAGAGTAGGTGGGTGCAGTCTCTGCGGGGAGACGAAGAAGGTGATCACCTCAGGCTGAAGGCAGCAAGCTGGTGATCCCGCCATAGCTGTTGCTTGATCTTCGTAACAATGCTTGCAAATTCCACCGGCGGTGGCACATGCATTCGGAATTCTGTTCGGGGTGACCCACAGTGATCATGCTTTGACTGGCCTTTTTCCTTTGATGCCCAGGGGCTCGGAGCAGGTTGGAAACAAGGAGGTACATACATCACCACACACGTCCTCAATCTATAGGTGTGGTGTACGCGTGGGTGCTGTCCCTTTTGCCGGGGGATGTCTTACCTGTCAAAGTGTTTCGGGAACTTATCATTTTCCAGGTTGCCAAAATCATGTTTTGAAGATGTGCCTACCTGTATCCTCAGAAGCATGACACCACCATGAGGTGCAGACCCTCAGGCCTAAATCAGCAGGATTGTTAAAGGCGAGATGAAGGTTGTCACAGTGGCTCCAAGCAGCGCCGTCTGCGAGTCCGGGTCCATTATCGACTTTGGTATCTGCTCACAAGATTTGCAAAGCATCCTCAGCATGGACCTGGACTGGAGCGCCCCGCGTCGCCCACACTGCAGCCTGGTTTGGATTATCAACATGCAGGCAGGGAGCCACCCCGTGCCTCAGCTTCTGCCCTTCCTTGACATTCCCAAAGAAGTTTCAGCGCATGTACGAGCCGGCCTCACAGGAAACAGCGCAGCTCATGCTTTTGGACCTGGGCGGAGACCACCTCACCCAGCAATTTGCCCAAGTATCTATTCATCCGGGGAGGAGCGTCAATGGGGGGAAAAGCTTCGGCAGAGGCCGGACTTTGAAAGTCCTGAGCAGGCCGCAAATGCAAAGCAACCCACCCAAAGAAACTCGGCAGTCACAAAGGCCTGCGAGGAGTGGCTGGCAAATGCCACTGCTGGAGGCATGAGGGGCTTGTTCCGGGCAACGAGCCCCGCGAAAAAGGGCTAGACCGCCCTTTCCAAAACAAGCCAGTGTGGCTGAGACCGTACCTGCGTCTGCAGTACTGGCAGGAGGTATGGCGCAGCAGCGAAACACCGCCAGTCTGGGAGTTCCCGGACTTGCAACTCCGGACTCCGGGCAAGGGCAGAGGTAGAGAAGTACTCACAGCCATAATACCGTATCAAAATGCTTCCCAAAAAGGCCCCGGGGCGAGATGGATGGACGGTGAGCTTCTGAAACCTCTGATCATCCCTGCAATTGAGGGCCGTATTGGGATCTCTAGAGAGGTGGAGGCCAGAGCGGTAGCTCCAAAAAAAATGCTGGTAAGCCAAGTAATCAAGTTGGTCGAAAACAGCAGGGTCGAACGGTCCGTAGCTTTGCGCCACGCAGTTCACAAACTTTGGGCGAAGGCCCGACATGCTGAGGTGGACAACTGGCTAAAGCCTAAAGGGCTACTTAGTCCAGGCCCTGTCCGTGGGACCAGGCTAAGGCCGGGGTTTCAACTCTGGATGACTCGGTTAAAATAGTGCTGGGGGCCGAGATTGTCATGGACAAAAATTCGGTGAGTGTTTCGATTTTCATAGATCTCACCACTTTTACTAAACTGTTTCCCGCCAAAAAATGGCACAACAAGCAGCGCTCACTCCCCCCCGGCATTTTACCCTGGAGACCAGCATGACGGGAATTTTGGCTCAGCTGCGGTCAGGGCGGATGGCTCGTAGTGTTTTGTGTCAACAAAGGAATTCGTGGTAAGCGTTTGAGACAAGGATTGCTTGTTCACTCGCTGCAAAGCTCTCAACAGGAAGTCACCCTGGTTGGATGTTGTTGCAATGGGTCGGGTGCCTTTTACGACCCAAATTTCTGGGTATAAGAGCTTTGCAGGTCGACGATATGTTTCACTGTTTGTCCAAGGCCTCATGCTTCGATATCTTTTCAAGGTCGCCGGGCTCTAGCTTTGCAATAGTGTCAGGCTGCTTGTTGGCTTGGTTTTTGACGAAAAAAATGCAGGTTCATATGCAAGGATACCGTGTGCAATCAATGAGACAGCATGCAACACAAAATGCTGCAAGCAAGTCGGATTGCACATCTTGCTGAAGGCTTCAACTAACTGCGGCGGCGGCTCTCATGTCATTGTCATCAATGTTACAAGCAAAGACTTGAAGGTTGGTCAATATCACCGCTGGCAGCACTCGTGCCTGGCTCCATGCCTGTAGTTGGCTGGCTTGAGGGCAGGCGTCGAAACACCCCATGATGCTTTGTGGCTGCTGTGCATCCCTGTGACTTTGTTTTGGGCTTCGGACGCGGGAAATCGTTCGTGCTTTGCCCGTCGGGGCTCCTGTGCACGGGTTGTGCGAGCTGAGATGTGCACAGGCATGCCTGCAAATGCTTGTTGCTCACTGCTGGCAGCATGCTGTCTGCAGACACCACTTTACCACAAGGCTCCTCCGTCGATTCCTTGCCAAATAGCCGTGCACACTGCAGCATTTGTGGATAGGCGTACGTGCCAGGGGACTAGTCTGCGCAGGGGACAGGGGGTGCGCCAAGTGAGATCACTTAGAGCCACAAATTCTTTACATTTGCAGAATAACGCGGTTGCCATCTCGTTTAAATGATTCCGCACTGAGCTTACCCTAGCCCTATTTCCATGACAGCAAGCTGCCTCAGCTTTGACTAGGCACGACTAGCCCATGGTAGTTTCGGTGGCCCCCAAAGGAATTTCACATCCGATGGATGGTCAAGTCGTCCAATGGATGTGCTTCATGATATCAACGCCCAAAGCTGGAACACATGCCCAGTACGTGTATGCTTTGGCACATGACAATTTCTTGATGCCCATGGACGCTTTCCGGTTGGCGCGAGGGATCATGGGCAGCTTGCAAACAAGGAGGCGCACTTTGGAGATTCCCTACACAGCCTACACAAGTAGGGGAAGGCACAACTCAACCCTTCATTAGTCACATGACGGTCTTCTGGGCATTACTTTGGTTTTTGAGGCAAAACAAACAGGCGCGCACGCACATCAGAAATAGCGCTCACAAGGCAGACAACAGCCTTCGAGTTGCAGACACACAGAGCGTGCGGCGCACCCAAAGAACACCACACAACATCGCTCTGTCAAGCCCAAATCAGTTCCAGCCAAGTCCATCGCGAGTGCCCCCAACCGACTTTGGCTGAGGGGGGCTTGAGACAGGAAGGAATTCCACAAGCATCGTAGTCCAGCTCGCACGTGGCAACCAGAGCTTGAAGGCAAGCGTGTGCAGTAGTGCTGCAGCACGGTGCCCAATTTCAGGTGATGAGCTCGTCCTGCTCGCACTGTCGCTACTGTGTGGAATGGCCGTGCAGCCTGTGCAGAACTTGCAGATCAGTTTTGGGCAGCATGGCATGAAGGGAAGCTGCTGCGCCCAGGTGCAAAAGAGCGGATACCGCGTTCCTTTGATGGACCCCTGTGACGCACGAGCGCCCGGCATCTCAGCAGCTGTGCAGGTGCTGTGCCTTTGGAGGAGCTGCTAGAACAAAAGCTGGCAGGTCGTTCCTGACGTACTGGGGAAACAACGACAAGCATTGGGTGTGGCTCAGGCATGGAAGGTCTCTGCAAAGCCAGCGAAATTGCCTTCTGTCGCAGGCTGCTTACAAGCTGAAGACTGAAGCCACTGAGAGCCCAAAAAAGTCTTGGTTGTGCCTTAGGAGTCTACTGCCAGAGATCTTGTGGGGCTTGCTTTGGTGTGCGCTGTCTGGACATTGGGGTTCATGGCCTGAAGTCCGGACATTGATGGTACATGAAATCCAAGGCATAACGGTTGTAAGATTCTGCCTTCACAACCAGCCTTCATCCAAGGTTCATCCGAGGCCAGCACTTCATGCTAGCAGCTGCTAGCAAGTAAGTTCAGAACTTGCAAGGAGCAGTGTGTCATCGACATGTAGCAGCTCGCCAGACTCCCTTAAAAATAGCTTGTATTGATTTAGTGGCTACCAGGCTGCCTTGTGATTTTCCAGAAGCACAGCCATTGGATCTAAATTCGTTGTCTATGCCACTCAAAGTGCTCTGCTCTGTCGTCCTGGTTGCTGCTTGTCAATCATGCTTATTGCACCTGCAAATACAAACATAATGCTGGCATGCGTAGCTGGCAGGAGTCAACAACAGCAGCGATTCCAGGACTGCATTTTGATTCTTTCAGTTGCATTGATAGCAGCTTGAGGCGCTGGACAACCTGTGCTAGAGGACTGCCGCCACCAGAAGTGCTTGATGTCGAGGACTTTTTGAGACACATAGGCAGATCCAATTCTCGTTTGGATGGCTTCCAGGAATTTTGCAACTCGAAGACTTCTGGCACAGGATGCTTGACCGTTGTCTAACCTCGAAGCAGTTTTGCGACGGAGTCGGGTCATGATTGCGGCTAGGACGGCAGCCGCAGCGAGAGCAGCTCGAGATAGTGGATGTGGAGGATCACGATCACCTGGCAAACCCATTGAGATTTGTATCGGGCGTGGATCCCCGTTGCAGACGCCACTTGAAGCTGGCGATCAATCGAGAGCTGTTGCATTGCTCGTGTGGAGCTGACCATGAGCCCGCCAAGCACACGCCAAGCACGTTTGAGTTTGAGGCAGAAGAGGAGGAGGCTGACAGGGAGTCAGCTGTGGCTGAGGCCGAGAAGCACGCAGTCTCAATTGATATTGGCTGATCCCTCCTGGAGGCACTGAAAGCCATGGAGGCAAAGGGCTTGCGATGCTCCTTATCTCCTACCCTGTGTATACTCCAGGCCACAAACGCGGCAGAGGACGAGGTGGAAGCGATCATGGAGGAGGAGGCAGGCACCATGAGGTTTACTTGAGACCTCGTTTGTGGGGGTTTGCCGCAGCCTTTAGCAGGAAACCCATTCATGATGCATGTCAATTCAGGACCTTCGTCGTGCGCTTCTCGACCCGGAAGGTGACAGTAGGATCATCCGTGCTTTTCGAGCATTGGAAATTGGACAGCTCGAACACCCTCTTGCAATATCTGGAGCAGGCGAAGCCAGAAGGCGACGAGTTCAAGCAGCTTGCTTAGCTTGGCCACAGGTGGTCTCAGTTTTGACGTTGATGCTGACTCCAATTTTTTCAGGCACAAGTGTTGATGGCAGTCCTTGCTACTGTCAAGTCCTAATGTTTTGAGCTTTGCTTTTTGTTTCTTCCCGCCTCTAGCTTCATTTTGTTGATTCCTTCTCCTTTCTGTCTGCTTTCTGCTCTCTGCTTCCAGCCTCCTGCTTGCTTTCAGCTTGCTTGGGTTCTATGCTTCGAGCGTCCTTGTGACTGCTATAAGTATTATTGTTATCACTGACGTCGATAGTGTCTTCGTTCTGCCTTTACCGTGAAAGCCAAGATGATTACACATATGATTCAGATATGATCTGTGTTGCTGCCCATCGTACTGTTACTGGGAGGATTAGTATTTCTACTGCTTCTGCTACTGCTACCGATGCTGCTTCTGCTTCTGCTTCTGCTTCTGCTACTGCTACTGCTACTGCCACTGCTCCTCTTCTTGTTATTATTGAGATTACTATGACCACCGGCATTCTATTAGTATTGCTATTATTAGTCTCCCTTTCCGTCTTGCTACACCGTTGCTATTGTCGTATGTGTTGTCGCTGCCACTGATTGTTATCACGGTTATTCTTGTTGTTGTCGTTGTTGTTACTCTTGTCATTGCTTTCGCTGTTGTAGCCCAGTCATCATTTTCACTGCATTTCACTGCTATTGAGCTGCACTCTCATCACTATGACTCTTGGTACTTCATGCTGCTCTATGCTATCTATATATTGCAGTTTCGACTTGATGAGACTCCTGCGCATAGGGGGAGGGGCTAGCCAACCTCCAAATCCACATGCGTGCTCCGAACACTTATGATCTTATATTTGCAGTATTTGGGCATGCTGCATGATGCGGTATTCGTAGCCTCGGGGAAGGAGTATAGGATCAGAACATCGTTTTTGGCACAATTTGCAGCCGGCACCTTGTGGTTCTAGGGCAAGATTGAATTCTCAGGCTCCACATCTCTAAACCAAGCGGGAGTCTAGCCCTGTTTCGACATGTTTCATCCATGTAGGAAAGGCCCGCGGCTGATAAATGAAGTTGATAATTCGATAATTCGCTGCAAAGATGGTCATTATTCCATCCCAGGCAAGGAAATCACACCGTGGTGGCGTCCCAAGCGCAGTGTGTTTCAAGCAAGCAGTCTTGTGTTCAGCTGTTGACATTGCGAAGAGAGTCGCGGAGTAACTTTCTCCAGATGCTTGGGCCTGGCTTGGTCCATGCACAAGGACAGAGATGGAACTTTGCCGGTCGGGCTGCTCGTTGGCGTTGCGGTGATGACCGCTTTCGGGAACATGAGGAATGCACCTGTTTCAGCGATGGCATCACATCATGCACATCTTGCCTGTTCTTCGTCCGCGAGGTTGACTTGGAATGCCGTCGAAAACTTGCTTTTCGAGCAAGAGGACGCTTCCAAGGCGCCAGGACTCGCTGCTAATCTAACTGCTCCCTTAGACTCGTCACAGACTTGCAATTCTCCTTGCTTCACTTTGGAGGTGCTGTGGAAGATCGAGGAGACGAGCGGCAGGACGGGAATTTGAAGAAGCAAAAGGAGGAGCGAAAGCGCCACAAGGCTGGCAGCCTGCTAGCATTCACTGTTTGCAAGGCGAGAGTTGCGCCTGCCCTTGCTCAACGTGGTGATCGTGGTGCTGGTCCAGTGTCAGCTGTGAAGTCAATTACACAGCCTCAGGACATTTCTAAGCGGTCTGTTTTCTGCCATCACTGACGTCAGATGACGAGTACTTCAAGTATTTGTGTGGGGTTCCTCCGCAGGAGCGAAAGCGAACATGCCTCGGGCGAAGCTCTGCAAAGGCGACTGCAAAGCAAATGACAGGCTCAGTGAGTTTTGAAGATGACAGGCGAACGATTCGATTCGACGTGGGAAAGGGTCCAGGCCTAAGGGAGTCTGCATTCAGTTCGACACTTCCTTCTTGCCATGCAAGCAGCATAACACGCGTAACACGACAGGTGCCAGCCTGGACGTCCAAAGCGGCTGAGGACCGCTCACATGCAAGCGATGCAGTCGTGTCGCATCCACCGGCTGCAGTGGAGTCCACCGTCTGACTGGTCAGGCTTCCGCCTATTGATTTCCCGGAGCTACCAATAGTAATAGCAGATGAAGACCGCCAGGTTCGGTCCTCAGATATCACAGGGTCCAGATGTTGAGGGCCACTTTGCACAGTATCACGCTTCGATCGAAGGAGCTGCTTCCTGAAGCCAGGCCAGCTGTTGTCCGTTGTCGGCGGAAAAATTGCAGCTTGCTGACTGAAGGACACGCAACCTCCCCATGGTCATTCAAATAGATCGAGAGTGCCGGCAGGCAGCGTGTGGAATGCTGATTGCTTCCCACCATCCTGGCCACTTTCCACTGAGCATACCCGACATAGGGTACTAGTCTGGATATATGGAGGACGTCCAGCATGCACGGATCGCACTGCAAGGCACGGGCTTCAGAGTTGCAGAAGATGCGTGATGACCTGACCACCGAGCTTCAAGTGGCGCGCAAGGCTGTTTTTTGGCCGACTTTGTAGCCCGTATTTTGCATCACATGCGTGGTCCAGGAGCGACACGATGCTGCAAAGGACCTCCGTGAATGCTGTGTGGCAGAGGCATCCTTGGTAGCCTCGTGGAATTGTAAGTTTTCTCAAGGTGCATGTGGTCTGTATTGCCAGGCACAGGCTGTCGAGGAACTCCGGGACGCTTTGAAAGCTGCCTTTGGCAGCTTACACTAGCGCAAAAAGCTGAAAGAGTGCGGCACGGCGACGCATCGGCATGCAGATTTCTCAAGCCCTCGCCCTGCATGATCTGCTCGAGCTTACGCACGCGCGCAGTACGCAGTACGCAAGCACTCTTGTAAAGCCGCACAAATGAGGTGACACATGCTCAAAGCATGTAGAAACTGCATTACTTTTGAAGCTTGAAACCTTGACTGCCATGGCAGTGAATCCTTTGTTGGCACAGGCCGCCCTGGAAGTCTTCACTGAATAGCAAGGAAATCTCGTGTTCAAGTCGAGGATGGGGCCAACCACTCGCTTTTCCCGATGCCAGAAGCCGGAGAGGCAAGGCAAATCATTTGACTGAACTGTTCTTTGCTTACCCTTGAGCGACTCCGTTCTTCAGATCCGTGTCAACATGACACGCATTTGACAGGCATTTGTGCTCAAGAGGGACAATATTGACTTCGAGTGCTCACTCCCGCGTGGCGGCAAGCTTTGGGGCAGGCCTTCCCGAAGCACAGCTTGCTGGTTGGCAGGATAGGCGCTTGCCGTGCTTCTGCACAGGGGATCCTTTTTCCTCTCCTCCAAGCGCATCGTTTTTGTTGCGCTGGCGGCCGTCCAAGATCACATGCTGAATGCTTGTGCATGCTAGCACGCTCTGTCTCCTTGTCAGGACAAGTCATGCCGTCAAGACTTTCGATCCTTCTCAATTCCACTTCAGACCTTAAGGCTGGACAAGGGAGGAAGGGCATTCTGACGACGGAATCTCACTGGCAGGTCTGGCATACGTGCAGCAGCTTTGTCCGGTTTCTGTGTTGTTTTCCTTGGTGTTTTTGTTGTATCTTCTTGTCAAAGAAGGGTTTGGAGCCAACAGAGTCTACAAGGGCCATAAAGCGTGGCAGTACATGTGGAAGAGCTGGCTTAACTGTCCCAGGCTATGAAGGGTTCAAACTCACTGTGTGCGTGCAAGGGGTAAGCTTGACTGCCAAGGTTTCATGCAAAGAGTTCTATGTCTGCATGGCCGATGCATGTGCAGGGGGAGGTGGTATGCTGTCGAAGATGCATAACAATCCTGAAGATGCATTGATGTGGGCCAGATGCTATTTGCAAGCTGACAACTGAAAGAAGCCTGCATTCCACCTGTAGTTCTTTCTGCAAGACAGCTGGGTGGGCCTCAGTTCAGCTGCTATGATTGAAGCAATACATGGAGGAAGGTGCCACATGATCCATGAATGGAGTCATGGCCCGCAGTGGTTTTTGAGTCAGGTTGTAACGGATTAAACAGTCACATGATCTGTACTTGCGGTGAATCTGCGATTCTGGGTTGTCCGTGCAACGCAAGGGTAGCACAATGTTTCTCGAATCTTAGCACATCATGTTCCCAAATCCGGCTTCCGCTTTGAATAAAACTGCATTCTTGATCGACATATTGTCGATCTTGGGGCTTGCCTGCGAATTTTTGAAGAAAGTAGTCGATCAGTTCGCATTGTTTTCTTATTCCATTGGGCAAAGTCACACGATCTCAATCTTGCAAATGCCTGGAACATAGGGTTCGTCGAAGGCCTTTTTCCTTTTCTGCTCTGCGCCCAGGGATCCCATGCTGGTGGACGCCAAAACGCATGAAAATCAGGATTGCCTCACCTAAGCAAAGATGCCATCAATCAAGCAGTAGTAATAGAAGGAACGTGCGATATTCGACGTTTCCAAGTTGGTTACTGTTGTTGTGGATCATAATTATCTTAATTACTCATAGTATATAGCTTTTGGTATCAGGAATATTAGCTATCGGCTACAACTACTCGACCCAACCTCCTGATCCTCAAACCGGCAGCCCTACAATCCAAGCAGCAATTGCAAGTTGGATAGATTCGCAATCTGTTGGCGATAGATGGAAGAGACACTTTTCATGTTGGCTTCTTGGTAGAGGTGGGGGCTGGAAGCAGAACGAGCTGCTGGGGAGATGTGAGGGGAGTTTCTGTCGGAATGGGAGCGCTGGAGAGGAGCTGGGAAGGTGTTGCTGGGGAGGTGCGGGAGTGGCGCTCCATGCTCTGAACAAAATACAACAGGCGGCCAAAACACGTTGGCTGCAATACTCGCTTGGTCGTCCCCTCGCGCAATGGCTGGTACGAAACTTATGTCATGGTGACATGGCTTGACTGCCAGTCAAGTGATAAACTTCCTATCAGCCATTGCATTTTGCCAAGGGACGTCCAGGCTGCCAGCAGCCTTCGCCGGTTCTAAAAATCGGAAAGCTGCAGAAATTTGAAACTTGCAGTTGACAACCTGAGCGCTTGGAGTGCTTGCGGGAGTTTGGGTTTTTTGCAGTGTCAGAGCCTTGTTTGTAAAGCCAAGTATATAGAGGGTGCCCTCCTGGAATTGACAAACGTTTGTCAACTCCAATTTGAACTTTGGTCGTTCAGAAGAGACTTCGTTGCCAACAAACTTACAGCAGGTGCTTTAAATTCTCCTTCTGTGCAGACGCCACTGAAGGCATTGGGAGCAAAACAAACATCTGCAACGGCACGCCCATGTGACCAGTGTAGCAGTTTACTTCCACTTCAGAAGGCCTTGCGGCTGAGTCATGGAAACAGAGGCATTAATATCTACCTGCGGGCACCATCGACACGCAACATGCACCAGTGCCAGGCCTGGGCGCAAGCTATGGGCAGGTAAATGGGAAAAGGTGTCAGGAAGGTGCTGGGGAGGTGCCGAGGAGCCAGGGAGGTGTTGCGAGGCGTCGAGGAGTTGTGGACTGAATGCTGGAAACGTGAGAAAGTTGCCGGGTAGCACAAGCATGCGCAGTGACATGTTGTCAACTGGACTCGCCCCACAGGCACTTGAGGGAGTGTTCTTTCATTGTTCTTCCTTGGCGGCATGGCGTGTTCTGCTTCAGATGTGGTGTTCGGGAAGGGCCGATTGCCGGCCATAGCGGTGCTCACTGGGGGCTCCGTGGCTGAGGTCGTGGATCGATGCTGCGAGGGACTTCGATGCTCTAATCGTGCTTTGAAGCTGCTTGAGCCCCTGATGCTGAAGAGCCCAATTTGCCATTGTTGGAAGTACTGACTTCGCTTCATCTAGGTTCGCCTGAGTAGGTGCCTACGGTTGTGTGTCGCATCCACGGAGGTGACATGTCTGATGTTGAGGACGTTTATCCAGCTGACCTCATGCTTATGTTGGGCTCTGGCCTGCCTTGGATGCTGTCGGTTCTTTGCCTTGGAGGGCGGCCATATGCTTCGACATTCCCCCCCACACGGTTGGACAGGATCGGATTTTTGCATGCTCGTCGTCCCTGTGATTCCCTTGTGTAGTTCTACAACCGCAGCGGCCGTGCTGTGGAAGGCCCTTAAATTAAAGGTCTACAGGACATTGCGCCAGCTTTTGTTTCTTGCTGGGTATTCTCGCTTGATGCAGTGGAAGCCATCAGGGGTTCTTTGTTGTGCCATGGAGTGCAGTGCTAGCGGCTTGAAATCTTGTGCATGGCGTACTCAGAAGTGAAAATTTTAGTAAAACAATACTTACTATAACAATAATTGTAGCAGTAACATAATCATAATAGTAAATTACGAGGAGTAGTACCAGTATACAAGTAATAATTGAGTAGTAGCAAGAATAGTGACAGTAGTAGCAGGAATATTAATAGTGATGACAGCCACGACAGCAAAATCTAGTGAGAATACTCGCAACAGGAATAATAACACAAACTATCAATAGTAACAACAACAAGAATCATGAGAATACCAAGAATAATTTTGCTAGGAATACTAACACATTTTTTTGGTAGTAAGAAGGCTAGTAATGACAATCATAGCAATAGTAATCTCTACAATGATAATGGTAATCACAATTGTAGTCAGATTCGCAACAGTTATGGAGATCTTGCTCCCTGCTCAAACGCTTTCGGGAACAAGAGCCAAGGAGCAAGTTGCTGGCGGTGTTCAAGCCACCGAGCTCTTGTTGCAGAATCCACATTGCCTCACGCTTGCTTCGGGGGAACCCGTTTCGGAGTCAGAAATTTCAACATGTCGCCTTTCGTGTGAAGACGGTCAGGGGCTTTCCCAATTTTTGAAATAGACACAGAGTTGCGAGGTTTCACTCATAGAGTTTGTTCTTCGAATACTTTATTGTGTGGAACGTATGAGCAATGTTGTGAAATCACACCCGCGTGAGTAATAACAAGGGAGTGAGTGGCAGTTTGGAGGAGAGGCCCTTTATGAATCTTCATGTTGGGCCCAAGCTGGGACACGAGGCCCGAAGGGTTGAAATTTCAGGGTTCATGGCAGCCTGCTGAGTGGCATAGCAGGGAACTGCTTACCGCGGGATTAATCACATGCCATCCGTCCTGCCGCTACTCACAGAGCTCGCTACTCTTGATACTCTGGATCAGATTGTACAATGGTGCTCTCTGCCGGCAAGTGTCTGGAAAGCGTTTCAGGATGCTCTTGGAAGTTTGGTGTCAGTGCGTATATTCTCGCAGCTGCCTCAATCTGTATGGACATCAACAGTGAACGGCTTGCGGATTCCTACGACTGGAGGTGCCGACCGCAAAACATCACCAGCCGAATCCATCCAGTTGGCGTTAGCATGGAGGGTGGCCGGGCAAGCCTTTCAAATGCCGGATGTGGGCCCGCTGGCAGACCCAGCCCCTGCTACTGCTGCTCAAGGAGCCTCTCAAGCGGAAACGACTGCGAGTCCTACAAAGAAGATCAAATTCTCTGCGATCCTCGATCAGTTGGACGAGACGGAGATAAACACCATGACTGGACCAAGCATACGCCAATCACACGGAAGTCGCAGGGGCAGAGCCACCTTCGGAAGCAGAGCCAACTCCGGATCAGATAGCTGCGCTCAAACAGAGGGTGGTGGTCAGAAGAGAGTGCCCCTACGCCGACTTCAGTGTGCTGACGCCCTTTGCAAGGAGATTGCAGAAGCACATGAAAGCCAGGTCGTGGGTCTTGCAGTTAGATGGCACACTCAAAGGGTTAGACGTCCCAGATCCTCCCAGCTTCGATGCGTGGGCGGTGTGCTAAAAGGTGTACAGGTCAGCGCTCTTCATGCTCAGGTGCCCTCCAGATGCCCCCGGACAGGACCCGAGGCAGGTGGTGACAGCGGCAGCTTTGGAGGAATATTCAGATCGCATCGCAAAGTTTAATGCCGAGTTCCCGGAAACATGGCATTTGGTGATGCAGGCCGAGGATCGTTGCCGCGGAGAAATGTTCGAGAGGTACAGGAGGTTGCTCACAAAAGCAGCGGCCACAGGACGGCTCCCCATGGCCATCGACTTCGACCTCGCTAATCCTTGGACTGGTGTGTTTATTTATGCGGCCCAGGATATAGACTTCTGGAACGAGCGTGTGGTCCGCCCGGCGCAGAATTTCATCGCGAGGGGTGGGAGGTTCATGTCTCAACAGAGGGCCGAGGATGTCAACATTCCGAGTGGATCCAAGGAGGCTCTGGCGAACGCGACCGCAGCAAATTCATCTGTGCCGGCTCCTCCTGCGCCGCCAGGACTAGGACTGTCTCAGTGTGCCAAACGAAGGCGCGTGCAAAAGGAGAAGCTAGCCCAGATGGAAGGAGCGTTGCAAACCCAGTAGTGCAAGGACAGACGCGGGGCATCCGAAGAAGTGGGTCTCGATGTATGTGTCCAATCAGGATGGCAAAGAGCTTTGCTTTCGCTTCTCCAAAGGGTGGCCCAAATGCTTGCCCGGAACCATGCAAGGATGGGCGAATTC